AAAATAAAATAAAGGCTTTATTTAACACAAAAGATTGGTAAAAGTCTTTTAAAAGATGTGGAAAGGAGACAGCTTAGAGATTACAGTGTCATGTTATAGATGACAGAGTAAAGCCAACAGTATTCATCCTGGACTCAAATAGACACAACTTAGTATGCTAGTACAAAATATAAGATCTGAAATTTTGAATATAAAAAAGTTTGATTTCTGAAACAGTTTAAATAAAACAAAGTCAGAAATGCTACACCAAAGAACGTATGAATGTCTGAGGGCTGGAAGAAGCTCATTTTTCTGATAATCTATTTCTAGTTAGTTTAACAGTGACACAATGACAACAGAGAAACAACTTTCATGATCAAAAGTAAATTTTACTGACAATTCTGTTGTCACTTTAATGTGGTTCTACAATAATTCATAGTTTTTCTTCAGTTAATCTTAACATGAAAATATACCCTAGAGCTGTTTTTATCGATTCTACATTTAACCTCTGTCAAATTCACAACTACTTCCTATACTTCATTTTTATACTTTTCTGCTGGATGGCCAAGACAAAGATAAAGCAAGACCTATGCAACAAGATTTGTAGCTTTTGGGTCTGACAAGGTCAGTGAAATCCCTTTAGGATTCATCTCGAGATCCTATACTTCAGATTGTAGATCCTTTGTTAGTGTCAGCCATGTGGACGAGTCATGGCCATTGCTTGGCCAATGTGCTCTCTGTGAAAGCCTGAGAGAATGTTTTCTCTCCATGTGACTCTCCTTAGGCACACTCTACATCATCAATCACTTTCCTCTTTGGCCCCATAATCTCCTTGACCAGAAAATTTGGGACACTACTGAGTTACATGACATTACAGTACAAGTTCTCATATGTCCTGAGTCTTAACTGACCTTGGAAGGCTAGGGCCAAAATGTTGGCTTTCCTTGTGGCCCTCCTTTTTCTCTAATTTTGGTCTGCAAATTTAGGTTGTTAACCCTTCAGAAGAGAAGCTTACTGTTATTACCATATAACCTAGGCTGTTAAGCTTAACTTCACTGTCTGTCTGAACATCAAAAATCTTAGGCATAACATGGAACAGGTATTTTTCATCAAGTATTGATATGTTGAACTTTAAATTCCTACAGAATATGATGAAAAAACATTTAAAAATTAGAATATATTTTTTAAAATAGGCATAAACAACTATGTAAGTCTTATGTTTACACGTAAGTCCAAAAAACTAAGCATATACAACCTTGAAGCAGGACAGTCTCACAACATTCCTTTTCCTGTCTCCTGCCTTCATTCACCACCCCCTTCTTTTTGAATAATCATCTACCCGAGAGACAGCACAGCAGCAACTGGCATGTCATGACAAGCAGCCCGTATTCAGAAGACCAGAATGACAGGCACTCCAAGCATGAACCTACTATTACAAATTGCCATCTTCAGTGCAGTTGCTTAGTTCATAGGTGTCAGTATATATAGTTAGTCAGGGTGAGAATCTTTCCAACTAACTGCTAGATTCAAAAATCTTCTGAAGATTCTCAGGATCATTGCCTTGCCCATCTTCTACATATAACTGTATGGCTTGTCATTGTCATGTTTCCTAGCTCTTCTCCTTTCCCTCTCTTAATTAGTCCTCGAGTTCTTGCTTTCCTTTTACTTGTATTATACCTTTCTATTTGTATTTCTTCTTTTGAGTTCTTATATCTGGGAAACTATATGATATTTACACATGTGTATCTGGTATATTTCACTTATGAGTATATCTTCAAGTGGTATCCACTTCATGCTGTTGTGTTGAGCTGTAGGGTACTCGGGTCAACAATTTCTGACATTGCCAGTGAAGTGGATGACCCAATACTATTATGGACTACTCGAGTTTTTTGGAATGTTTTGCTGAGTTAACATACCTATAATATTCAAATAATGGAACTAAACAAAGAGGTGGATGTGGAAGGATGTCCATTTTCTATCTGTGTATTCCAGGTGGTTAGGGTAGATATATAGTTACATTCTCTTAATGAATAGGGGGATTTGTTCTAATGGTATTTGTAATAGGGTGGATATATAGTTACATTCTCTTAATGAATAGGGGGATTTGTTCTAATGGTGTTTGTAATAGGGTGTCATGTCCATAGCTTGTACAGCAAATAACCACTGGGAAGAATGTAAAAAAAAAAAAAAAAATTCACAAGTAAGCTAATTATAAGACTGCCTGCCTACTAAATTTAAGAACGTTCATTTCATACCTTAAACATTATAATATTATTTAATAGCAGTACTGCACTGTCAACTATTGAAAGCTTACTTTTACATATAGTACTATTTGAGCTTTTTATCTTGGCTTTTAATTATAATTATTAATTAATATGCTAACATTACAACAGTGACTAGCATTCATTAAAAATATTGTTAACATTAATATTTATGTTAAAAGGGGCATTAAGAGTTCATTTTCAAAAATACATCAATACTAAGATATTTAAATCTGAAAACTATTCAAGGACAAAACAAACTACAAGCTAATGCTGTCTTTATATTAAAACATTAACATTATGTTGTGTCCATTCTTATAATTAGCTAAAATGTAGCTGTAAATAAACTAATTTTAAAAAATGCATACATAAATTTTAAGAATACTTCCTTTCAAATATATTTTCCTTTTGTCTTTTTGTATTTATATTTAATAAGCACATTACCACTATAGATTTCAAATGCAGGAACATATATTAACATTCCTCAGCTATGTACCAAATCATGAATATTTATTTAACTATCTTTTTATATTCACTTTTTGGTTGTTTTTGTGATCAGCTATGACATGTTCAGCTGTAGGATTCTGCCTATTATTTAACATGTCGAACTTCAGGCTTTGTTTCATACTGGAGGACTAGAGGAAAGATCTGGAGAACTGCAATGTTTTTAAGACAGGCTGGGTACAGTGAAAATACCATGGTAGTAGATGAGTTTTACTGCTCTGATAATATCCATCTAGAACACATTAGGAATATAAGTTTTGCATAGTATCGGTGACACAAAGGATTCATTATTTATACAGGCCCCAATTGTTATAAAATAAAGATGTCAAGTGTTCCAATTACTATCTCATTTCTCAAATACATAAACAAACTTTTACAACTTCCTCATCTATTACATCCTTATTAAATGCCTTCTATGTAAAAGGCCCTTCTCTAAATGTTAAGCCTACTGGAATCTGAAGAAACAAATGACACAGTTCCAGTTAAGAGAATAGAATATATACACAAAAACATAAGCATAACCTTTATATTTAATATACAAAAGGAGGCAACATAATAAGGTTCCAAGTGAGTAGGATTTCTTGCATATATTTTATAGTGTTGTTATACATTTTTAGAACTAACTGATCCAAAGATACTATACTCCAACTGAAGTATTTAGTCAGTCATCTAAATTACCAGCCTTAATTCTTAGATATGCCAAAGCTGAACCAGCACTTTTCCCTAAAATGATCAAGTTCTTATACTATTTTCATTCACTATATGAGTTTTCATATATTGCTACGAACACATTAATCTTTTTTCTTCCTGATTTATGTTATAAAGAACTAAACTGATAAACATTTACTTGTCAAAATTCAAGTTACAGTATAAGGAGACTAACAAAATGTAAGATAAAATATATATTGTTAACTAGTAAAACCTTTCAATAATTACTGAGAAACAGCTTTTATGCTGAAGAGCCCAAATAGTATACTAACAGTATTTAATTCATCCATGAATTGCATTTTAAGGTCTCTTAGCCCTGCTCAGCAGTGTATTCTACTGCAGCAGGAAATTTACTA